TTGTTAACAGTAACTGATGAGCAGAGACTTTTCTTCCGCTCTTTTTTTTTGTGTGTTTTTCTGTTCAGTCGATCATCTCTGTAAGTTTGTCAGTAAGTTCACGTTCGCTCAGAGAGACTCTTGCTTTCGCTCTCCGTCTACTCTCGGGTTCAATGAGATCATTTAGAGGCTGAGCTACTGTTCAATGTTCAGACTGAAACTTCAGTTTGAGAAGGTAAAGGAAAGAAGGAAGTCAAAGGATAGATGGTAGGATGGTAAAAGAGGAGGAAAGGAATGGGGAGTGACAGGTAGGAAAAATAGATTTATTGATTAGGTAAAAAATAAAAAAATCTAATTTCTGCACAGTTTAATAAGAAAAGTCAGAGGGGAAGTTTTTTAATTTAAAACAGAATCCACCTTAAAGTCAGTAAAACTCCTCACTTGTGAATGTGAATCAGGGATTTCTCATCAAGCTGCTCGGACAAAAGAAGACGTGATGCGTAAACTGAGGGTCAGCTCTTCTCTCTCTCTCTCCTCTTCCTCTTCCTCCTCTTCTGAGCTCCTGCAGTTTGTGTTTCATCACTCAGAGCCGAGGAAGGGCCGGGAGTGTCGGGTTTCCTGTGAGCTCAGGCTTTGACTTGGCTGAACACTCCGAGATGAGAACAGAGTTTTTTCACACTGTGAACAATGTACTGTTACCACGACAATCCCTCCACAAACAAGAGCTCAGGGCCAACTTTGGTTAGAAACGAAAGAGAGAGAGGGACGAGAGGTTTTCCTCCGATCGGAGCTTTTAACTTTCAGAGAAATGACGCCCATTGCAGGATTAATTTGAATGACTTTAAGAGCAGTTTAACACGTTTAACATCTCATCATTTGCTTTCTTTGCATCAAGTTTACAAGAAATTACAGTTTTAATTTGCAAATGTGTGGTATCACAATTACAACCAGGAAACATGAACTCTTCAACAGCACTTTATGGTAAAAACAAAAAGTGTTAGTACATAAATGTAGTGTTAATTTGTCTTTTACATTGTGGGAACAACTCTCCATCTGCAGCATCCGTCCAATCCGTGGTAATCCTGGAGTTATCTCAGCGGCGTCCGGTGTGCACACACGCCCACTCAGCTGTTGAGAAGAGGTCCAATCTAATCATCCAAAATAAGTGAAACCATGTGTGGGGGTGCAGAGCGGGCTTTACTGTCGTTAGTGTCAAATGATTTGATAACATCACCAGTGAGCCTGGAGGGAAGTCTTGAGGTTTGGAGAAATAGTTTAGTGATCAGAAGATGAATTTGAGTCATGTTTCAGCAGAGCTTCAAGCCGGCTGCTTAAAGTATTACACGGACATCTGAGACTTAGTGACACCTTCTCAGGACTCTGTAGGTGTGCAGACCTCACACTTCACCTGCTGGTTTGTGAAGCTTTAATGTGCCACTTCTTTTAATATTTAAAGTCTTTATATGTGATTTTTTACACTTAAATATAATAGAAATCAAGTATATCCTCTGAAAATAACTCTGTGAGTCATGACTGTCTACAATGGGTGTAACACCCGAGTCCCACTGTCTGTGATGTTTTCAGAGTCCTATCTTCACTTTGTTTACATCGCCAGGACGGCCGGCTGACTCCTCCCCTCACGTATAAAAGTTGTTTAATTGAGGGACTAGAGAAAAGAAGAATAACATACTGTACTCACTGCTTAACTGTGTTTCTAGATCACGCTCATTTCAGGTAAATTTACATGCAGTGTGAAGATACCAGCATAATAAAGATCACTAGCATTAGCATGCTAACACAACAATGCAGCGCGAGTTGTTTTGGTTTCATGCTGGAGCTCAAGGGCGACACCTGCTGGATCAAAAAATCGCATATAAAGCCTTTAAACCAAAAGTGACCTTATTTAGAGGAGAGAGGGAAACTAGAACTACAAATGTCAGTGTTTGAACTAAAACTAAAGGTAGCTTGGTAAGCCAGGTGTAGAGTTAACGGTAATGCTAATACAGGTTTGATAACAAAGGTTTTCAACAAAATGTGCAAACTCACTAACTATAGATTCTCTTTTTGTGTTTTTTCCTCTAAATGGGACCGTGATAAAAAACAAACTCACATCATGCCATGTTGAAAAAGCCTCAAGAGAAACATTCACTGAGTTAATAAATCAAGTAAGAAGTTGGGTTAATTTGTCATAGACTGGTGTACAGATGAACTCGTCTTTCCAACCATCGTCTGGACTAACTGTGTGTGTGTGTGTGTGTGTGTGGGGTGCCTTTCACTAATGACATGTATTTATAGTGATGTGTCACAAACACCTCAGCTCCACTGCTGCTTTGTTGCAGCGTGAGTGTTAACGAGATGTAATAATCTAACCATATTAAAAAGCCTTTAATAATCCGCAGTGTAACAACAACGTGCTCATACGTCGTTCCATCACGTCAGAGCACGATGTTCAGCACGTATGTGTGTTTTCAAAGTTCAAAGATCTCCAGTGGTCGGTCTCGGTGTCAGACAGAGAACAGCGGTGTTAAGAGGTGTTTGGCCCTCGTGAGATGAGTGCGCCCCCGTAATAATAATCCTATTTTAATCTGCCTCCTGAGGTTACTCGTCCTGGATTATCAAAGATGAAGGAAGCTGCTGGGGAGGGGAGCGGAGACGCACTGAATCACTTTACAGAGACACAACTCTGCAGACCCCTGATGGATACGAGAGGTTTTTTTTATTAGATTTACAAACCTCACCGAAGAGGAGAGATTCAAATGAATGAATAAAATCTGCTCTTTGAATGAAATTGTAGCGGACCTTAAAGAGTTGAGGATCAGCGAGCAGCTCTGTGGTTTCACTTGAGTGAGACGGTAGGAAGAGGAGAACTACAGTGGCCCATGAGGTTCACTGCATTTCTCTCGCTCTCTTGTTGCATTGTTAAAGACGCAGCGGGCTACACGAGAAATGTCGCAGGTTCAGTCTTGCTTCAGGTCAACATGTCACAGCGGAGCAGCATCTGAACGCGTCCCGACTCTGATCGGACAAAAAAACTGACTAAAAAAAAAAAACGTGTTGTGACCTTTTGGTTGCTTCCCCCTCCTGGCTGCAGCTCGTCATTCTTCAACAACAACTGAAGCACAAAACATCCTGCGGTCTCTGAGGAGAGTCTGAGAAATTACAAAAAGTGACAAACATGAAGTAGAAAACGTCAAACAATATGAAGTCAGAGCACACACACACCTGTAGAGCAGCAGGTTGTGTTTTTAATGAACTGTGACTTCTCATTCACTCTGTTTCACTCAACAGAACGTGTTTATGTTTCCTAACTCTGGAGGATTTGTGAAGCCTCATAGGAGCTAAGGAAGCCAGTCTTTTGCTTAATGGTATTCAAATCTTTGTCTTTTTTAGATCTTTGATGGAAGTGTACCTCAAAGCTGCAGCTACGTGCAGACAGCCGCCAGTCTTCTGTATTTTTATTTAACCTTTATTTAACCTTTATTTAACCTTTATTTAACCTTTATTTAACCAGGTAAATAACCCATTGAGATCAGGATCTCTTTCACAAGGGTGACCTGGTCAAGAGGGCTGCAGCACACCTCATAAAAAGCATTACATGATAAAGAGACAGTTTATTTGATTGACAGCACAAAAACTGTGAAATCAATGAATGAGTTACCTGAGAGTCCACCTTGATGCCTGCATCTTTTAAATGTCTGCAATCAGTTTGAACAGACATGAAAGTGATTTAGGTTTCCTGTCAGAGATTTCTCAGCAGGCTGTTGATGGTTTAAAAAAAAAGAAGAAAAAAAAACAGCCCCTCAATGTTTGTTTGTCTTAATCATCTCTCATTAAATGTTCATCTTGATAACCTGAGGCAGCATTTTGGGAGAAGAGCAGAAGAGATAAAAGATGCTATAAACCAATCAGAGCAAACAAATAACAGGCAAAAAGAGACAAAGTGATGGATTCACTTGGCCTGCTGTATGGCACTTCCTCTCCTTCCATCAGACTGATTGGACAAATGCATTTCACCATAAAGATCTGACCGCAGCTTCAGTGTGAGCACACTCCTAAAAGACCGCTTCATCCCATCGGGACCATAAGCAGAACTCACAGCAGACGCTACTCCTTTCATATCCACAGTCGACATGTTATCCCTCAGTGCTCGTGTGCTCCCATGTTGGAAGCATACAAACAATCCATTCTTTAGTCGTCTTTCTTCTGTTTGTAAACATCAGCTTATCTGCACATGTTGATGAGTGTGTGTGTGTGTGTGTGTGTGTGTGTGTGTGTGTGTGTGTGTGCGTGTGTGTGTGATGGAAGGCATGTGGTGCACTCGCGAGGCGCTGCATGCACACTCATCGGGTGAATCTGATTAGCTTTAATAACAAACCGACGGGCAGCATATTCAGCGCCCCCCTCTCCCCCCCGCTCCCCCCTCGTGCGAGGCGGTGACGAGGAGCAGATTCCTCGATGCCCGACGCTGAAATTAGATCAGACCAATCTGGAGAGAGTGTTTAGAGGCATCGCTACAAACGGACGTGCAGAGAAAAAGGGAGGGAGATAACGCCGTCAGGGAATCATCTGATTATGGAAAATAATTAGTTGTCATGGATATCAGTCATCGTTTGATGTGATTGGGTGGATTTATGCCGCTTTGTGAGGAGGGGGGAGAGATAAACCGTTCTGCTTTGGCGTAGTGATGCGGCGCCGACTCGCATCTGTTCTGTCAGACTGTGATTGGTGACAAACACTTCGTTTCCACTTTACAGTTTACACTCATGCCAACACGATCATGTTCGGATGAGAGCTTCGTTTTTTCTGCAATTTTACGACAAAAACAGAATCTGGAAAAATTCTAAAGTAAATCAAAATGTAAAATAATTGAAGAAACACAAGGCATGCATGAGGACAAAGGTTCATCAGACTAATAATGCACACTTTTTAAATGTCTTCTTCTGCTGCTTCATTTAAAGGTGAAACAACATACCCTGCACTAGCTCTGTCTCTGACTTCCTGTTTCCTTTTTCCTGCTGCAGAGGAAGGCGAGTACTTCCTGAAGGTTTTGATTCCCAGCTATGCTGCGGGGTCGATCATCGGGAAGGGAGGTCAGACCATCGTCCAGCTGCAGAAAGAAACCGGAGCCACCATCAAACTGTCCAAATCCAAAGACTTCTACCCCGGTAAGACACAAACACAAACGCCACCAACGCCATGGCTGTTTCGCTCTGATGCATGAGGGGTTTTGATGAAACAGAAAGCTTCACCTTAAAAAACCTTTACACTGTTTTCTTTAGTCATCCCCGAAAGGAAACAATGACAGTCTGTAACAGAAATTCACAACATGAACAACACTAAGCCATTATCTTTTTGTATGACCATTCATTATTTTGTGTATTTTGGCCTTTAAATATAGAAAAGCTGCATAGAAATACAAGCAGCATCCCTCAAACCTTCTGTAAACAGAGTAGAGCTGTTTTAAGGAGAAGCTTCCTGTTACCTGAGAAACAACATCTGAACTGTCATAATGTGGATGTGTGGGGTCATGCATGGATGAAAACAGCTGACAGCAGTTAAATAAACAGATGCAGAGGTATGTGGAATATCTATCGATCCATTTCTACGCCTCTCCTCTGAAAGGACGTGAAGGATGGAGGAGTGCATCGGGATGAATAGATGCAAAGTGTTTTTATCCCATTAAGGAAACGTTTCATTACCACAGTCTCCATCCATCAAATGTTCATAATGTTAAAGCACAGATGTGCATAAAGAGCACACACACACACACACACACACACACACACACACACACACACACACACACACACTCACCACATGAATAGGAACAAGTTGTCTGAATTTGTGAGTTTACTTCGGATCAGAAGAGCTGAAATCCTGCTAGAGCTTCATCTGTTCGATGGATTTATAGAAGCTGTGCATGTGCGTGTGTGTCTGTGTATGTGTGTCTGTGTGTGTGTGTGTGTGTGTGTGTGTGTGTGTGTGCCTTTGTGTGTGTATGTGTGCGCGTATGTATGTGTGTGTGAAGCTCTAGCTTTGTGTTGACTGGTTGTTGTGAGCCCTTAGGGACAGAGGGGCCTTTACTGAGCTCACTCTGCACCCCCCACCCCCTCAGTAACACACACACACACACACACACACACACACACACACACACACAGAGTCCAACAGAGATCAGGATTACGGGATCAGAGGTGAAATTGTATTTGTCTAAAGTCTTAATTCTGTCCTGACGTGATGTGACCGCAGCACTGTGGAGGGGGGAGATGGTGTGTGTGTGTGTGTGTGTGTGTGTGTGTGTGTGTGTGTGTGTGTGTGTGTGTGTGTCAACATGCAGATATTGTCCTACTAACAGGTTGGAGGTTTGAGATGTTTGTTCAAGCTGAAATATAAAGAGACAAAATGGAGAGCAGCATGCATGTTGTATCAAACTCAAAAAATGTGAAACTCTGTGCATGTGAAACATGAATCTATCAGAGTGAAGTATACTTCACATTTCTTGGCATTTCCCATCACCTTATAAATCTCAGAGAAAGAGGGGAAAATGTTGGAACAGGTTGTGTTTTGGTGCTGACAGCTCGCGTTGAGGTTGAGGAAAGACGGCTGTTTGGTTAAACAGTGAAAAATAAAACTAATCTTCCAAACCAGAATGTCCTGACCTCAACCAAAGTGCTGGAGCTGCCATGTAAACATTAGTCATGCTTTAGTTGCTAGGAGGGTCTGTGTTGTTTGACACAAATGAAACACATTGTAGTAGTAAGTTTGCAAGTTGTCTCAAAAGATAAGATCATCCAAGACCGACTGTATTTACAGAGCCGAGAGGGGAATCATGTGTTCCTCTGCGGTTTGACTCCCTCTCTGCCTCCACTTAGTGTAACCTCAGCACACGTGGAAAAACAAACGTTTGGGTCCAGATTGAAGAGGCTTCATATGCATCCAGTTCAGCTGTGTGTGTTCAGAAGAATTCTGGCAGGTGGAAGAATGAACCAACTTATTTATGTGACCCAAATCTATGATGTCACTTCTCTCTGGGATAGTGTTCAGTCGTGAGGTAAAAGTCTGAATTCTGAGTCAAGGCCTCGGCGCTGGTTTCTTCTCAATGAGACCTAAAGTTAAACTCTGGCGACCTCCCTGGTGTTGTCGTAGCGCCTGCAGAGTCTCTGATGTAATCGCTGCCCCCCCCCCCGAGCCAATCACAGCACAAGCTTTCTCCAGCTCTGCTAGAGACGTGTTGCACGCACACTAGTGCTGCTCTTAAATATGTTTCAGAGCTGCAGCCTGGAAGTCCTGTTAGAGAATCAAGTCAGTTTCTGTGGTGTGCAAACAGACTCAGCTGCAGAGTGAACCTTTTAAATGAGACAATACAAGACTTTCTGAAAATCACATGTTTAAACCCAAAAAAAGTCTTGATTTGTGTTAGAAAAAACTATTCTGCAGCCTCCAGAGACACCTGTGATGCAATTCATTTAAACACATTTTAAGATTATTTTAGGTTTCTATATCTTTAAAATATCACTTTCTTTCTTGCTACTGTAAACTCCCTTTTACATGCAAATCTAATTTTTTTATACCCAAAAGGAAAAACAGGCTAAGATGAAGTTGGCTTTTCTGAAACAAGACGTTCAGTGTGATGTAGTGTGGAAATAATGGTCCTTCATCGCTGTGAATCATTTTCCTGTAAAGCTTCATTTCACACCGACTCCCAGCTGCATTAACGTTCTTCTTTCTCTCCGAGGTCTCCGAGAATTTATTTGGTTTTTAAAGTCAGCTCTCGTGTTTTTTTTACGATTGTGTGTTGTGTGTTTGGGAGTGTGTGTGTGTTGTGTGTATGGGAGATTGTGTGTGTGTGTTGTGTGTATGGGAGTCTGTGTGTATCAGTTCAGTGTTTGGGGTCTGAAAACAAGCACCCGTTGTTTGACACCGGCACACGAGACTCCTGAAATCTCTGCCAACTACAACAGATGCAAGGTGCAGCAGGAGCCTCCAAGATGCACACACACACACACACACACACACACACACACACACACACACACACACACACACACACACACATGCACACAAGCACACATGCATAAATGATGATAAATATGCTGACAAAAACAACCAACATGTGCAGCGAAAAACTTTCATGAGCACATAAATCTGTGGAAAGCTTCAAGATTTCCACAGTGGAAGTGCAAATAAATCTACAGGAAATAAGCAACACACACACACACACACACACACACACACACACACACACACACACACACACACAAAAATTTGCTGCAAAAATCACTGCAACGACAGGAAGAACTGAAAGATTGGAGGGAGACGAGAAACAAGAAAGAAAGAGGTGGTTGTACACGCCTCCGTCTAGAGGGGAAGACTGAAGAAGCTGTGTGTGTGTGTGTGCATGTGTGTGCGTGTGTGCATGTGTGTGTGTGTGTGTGTGTGTGTGTGTGTGTGTGTGTGTGTGTGTGTGTGTGTGTGTGTGTGTGTGTGTGTGTGTGTGTGTGTTCACTCTTCCTTAGCGCTGAAGGGGGCATCTGTATGCAAATGAGACACGGTTCTTCCTGGGTGACAAATCAAAAGGCCCACCTGCTGCAATAGCCCGTCTGTCTGTGTGTGTGTGTGTGTCTGTGTGTTTGTGTGTGTGTGTGTGTGTGTGTGTGTGTGTGTGTGTGTGTGTGTGTAACAGTGTGTGTGTGTGTCTGTGTGTGTTTTAGAAATAACAGGGCCAGTCTAATGAACAGAGTAGCGAGAGTTACTGCTGTGTCTTGGCCAAAGCGTCTCATTCCTCTCCTCTCGCTCCTCGGAAGACATTAGTCCCCCTCCTTTCCTCCCCCTCTCCCCCCTCTACATCCTACACACACACACACACACACACACACACACACACACACACACACACACGCACACACAACCCCCACACACACCCCAGCTGTCGTGGAAAAGCTGGCAGAGGTCACTGAAGTTTTTGGTCATTTTATCTCTCTGTGTGCTGGGTAATATTCAATAGCTTGTAAGGTGTAAATTTGTTGAAGCCGGGCTCAATTTGCGCAACACTTTTTATTCCCTCGTTAAGAGAAGCTGTTTGGTTGACTGTTTTAAGTTTTGCATTTCTGAAGACTTGAACTGGATTATTATTAATTTAAAGTGAAGGTGAGAGGGTTGCAAAAATTCCCAGAGACTGAACAATAAATCTGCCAAAACACGATGTGAACCAGTGACAGGAACATGTAAAACTTCTGCGCAGATGGCAAACAAATTCAAAGTTTCTCTCCAAAATGAGATCTGGATTTCTTTTCAACCAAACACCACTGGCTATTAAACCCACAAAACACTGAGACTGTCTGACAGCTTTTGTAAACTGGAAAAAGACTCATCTAAAGCTAGATTAAAAGAGAGTGAGAAGATGAAGTTGAGATAAAAAAAAAAAAAAAAAAAAAAAACACAATCTCCTGTTTTGTGTTTCAGCAGTTCAACTTTTTAAATCAAGAGTTTTACTGTCGCCTTGGGGGAAATGTAATCTCTGCTGCGGGAAAGTTAATGTGACAAGAGAAGACGAAGCGTGGAGGAATAAAAGAAAAACTCAATTTGAGGATTTAAAATAGGAAATGAAGTGTGTACAATGAAAAGCAACACAGCAGGATGTCAACAGCTGAGAGGTTACAACCAGCGTGCACACACAACATATGAACAAGAGCGCGACAACCTGAGCACAAACTCTGTTTCCAAACACATGACCTCGTTCTCCTTCATCAGCCTACATTCCTCCACTCGTACATCACCCTCCTCCCTCCTCCCTCCATCTCTCTCCTCCTCCTCTTCCTCCTCCTCCCTCGTTCCCTTTACTCTTCTCCCTCCCTCCACCTCTCTTCTTTCCTCTCTCTTTCCATCCTCCTTCTTCTCTCCCTTTAACGTCTCTTCCTGTATCCTCCTCCTCTCCCTCCACTCCTCTCCTTTTCCTCCCGCCTATCCTCTCCTCTTCCTCCTCCTCCCTTGTTCCCTCTACTCTTCTCCCTCCCTCCACCTCTCTTCTTTCCTCTCTCTCTCTCCATCCATCTCCTTCTCTCCCACTACCACTCCCTCCACCCCTCTCAACTCCTGTTTCTCCTCTCTCTCCCTCTCCTCGATCCCTCTCCTCCTCTCTCTCCATCCTCTCCTTCACGTCTCTTCC